CTTTCTGTGACGTAGGACATCATTGGTCATAGATCAATCACATATCTTTTTGGGCAAAAGTTTTGTAAGTTCGTTTTTTGTTTTCGATGCTCATACATTTTTATTTATGAAGTCAAAAGAGTCTTTTTCTATGCGGTTTTTTCTCTTTTGTCCAATTTATTCCCGTGAGTCAGGAGAGCAGCATCAACACAAACAAAAATCGAAGGACTAAATACGGAATCCACGGAATACTTATACAGAAGAGAATATCAGAGAAGATATTCTCTTCTGTATGCTGAGAATAAAATATTAGAAAACAATAACATCGAGGAAAGCTGGAAAAAACTCAAAAATAACATAATTAACGCAGCAAAAGAATCACTTGGAGAGAGGAAAGTAACGAACACTAACATATCAAAAAAGAAAACTCCATGGTTTAGAGAGGAAGTGAAGACAAAATGTAAAAAAAAAGAAGACAAATAAAAAGGAAACACTGGCAGAGCTTCTCAAAACAGATGTAACACGACTTCTACAGAGCATAGAAAGAAATATGGAGAATGATCAGTGGACAAAGAACAGAAATGACCGAACTAATAAAAACGAAACAGATTCAGAAGGAAACATGGGCAGACTATTTTCGATCCCTACTTGCTAAAGGACGATAATGAACCACCAACACCAGAGGTAATGACAAACGAAGAAATAAATAGTGAGGAGGAAGAGGTGAAGGAACCATTAGGGAAATTAAAAAAGAGAAAATCACCAGGCAAACGAACTCATAAAGTACGGATGACCCGACCTGACCAAACAACTAATAACTGTTAGAAACAGCTTGTTAGAAACAGCAGAGATAAAAACACTTAGAAACATTGATGGTAAAACACTATGGGACAGAGCTAGAAGTACAGATATACGGCGTTGATACAAGGTGAAGAATATCAAGGATTTTGTAAGAAATAGAAGAGTAGAATGGAACGATCATATAAGCCGAATGACAACAAATGGAGTAGTAAAGACGGCAATAGGCGATTCGCCAATACAAACACGATTAGTAGGAAGACCACGAAAACGATGAAACCAGAACTTACTTGAGGCACATTGAACAACAGGCAGAGTCATGTCTACATAAAAAGAAGAAGAAGGTTTTCAGCAGTCTGTGGCATTGCTTAGGTATAACCCGACAAGCGAGAGCTGGCGGGTTGCGCGTAGAAGAAATTGAAAAGTGTTCACCGTTTAAGTCATTTACATCGTGTACATCGTGTATAACCGTTTAAGTACCTATACTATATACCTATAATCGCGATTAAGTACCTCTCCTATCTCTCTTAGAATAATTTCTTTTCTATTTTCGAGCAGGTCACCCGCCAGCTCTCGCTTGTCGGATTATAATATCCACTACTCCTCCTGTGCTATGCATCCCATGGAATTACAGTCACAGACCGACAAGTTGTTTCAATTCTTAGAAATATAAATACAAAATGTAGTTTAATTTAGTTATAATAGTTCAATATATCATGTATATAGTGACAAACTTATACATGTATGATAGTTTTTACTCTAATACACATTAAAATTACATAACCGGCCTATGTCACAATTAAATACTTAGCCAAACAGTAATATTTCACAACCTTAGTATTTATTATCTTTGATTTTAATCGATAACTGCATTAAAGTAGTTACCGTTCATGACATTACGATACTTGTAGCGTTTTTATTGACATTTGCATCATTACAGTAAGTACTTCACAGACACATGTGCTTTTTTACCGGATGTCTTATATTTACATACCTATCGCATTATCACTTCAAATTAAATATAATTAGGAACAAAAAAAAATCATTTTTAGGTCTTTATATTTATAGAAAATAAAAGATATTTCTTTAAGACAAGGGAAAGATATTTTTTTGGATAATCACTTTCGTGAGATATACCAAAATAAGGTTCAAGAGGTCGCACGGGTGAAAATTTGTTCAATTTTTTTTTTTGACAAATGGTAACAATAATTTTTTTCAAGGCTCAAAAACACAAGTAAAAAACATTATTTTTGAATTCACCAAGAACCTAAATTCAAGTTCAAACCTTGTTCTATCATTTCCCGATAATTATTTTTGGCCTATTTATTTTAAACAAATTGTTTTTTGAGAGAAACAAGATCTAGGACACAAATTTTTGCTGGTTTAAATTCTCAATATACAAATGGGCGCCTGTCCTGCCATACGCGCTTCATTATCAATTAAAAAATAATGGTTTATAGATGATTACGACCAAAGAGCAACATAATCCAATAAGGGGGCTCTGAACCGAGGGAGGGATGTTTCTCGATGAACGTAATCATCCAGTTACACCATTGGTATAACTGTATTATCGCAAAGTCCTATATCTACTTGTTTGTACATGAATAGATGACTAGATATTAAAAATATTGATATTTGTGTCATCTAGTTTTCGTCTAGTAGTAGAATAAATAGCTTTGCGGACAAGTGCAAAACTGGTCTTTCTAATAATTTGGAAGACAGACGAAGAAAGAAGAAGGAAACTGGAAAGGGAAGGAAACTGGAAAGGGAAGGAAACTTTCTTGACTTTATCATAAAGAAATACCAATCCTTAGGTTTTCATCACTCTGTTTATCAAAAACCCACCCATACCAATCGTTACTTACAACTTTCATCATCCACCTTGACAAATCAATTCAGTAAATAATACCCTTGTCTCCAGATCAATACGCCTTTGCGATGATGCAAGTAGACCCGCTGAGTTCTCTAGTTTAAAATAAGCCCTCAAATCACATCAAAAGGCGCATCCACAGACATAAATCTCCCACTCAATGTAAACCCAAAGACTCAGACCCTCATCGTACGAAAGATTTTCTTCCTTATATCAAAGGTGTCACTGACAAAAGCGACAAAATTATTTAATCAAGAGTAATAAAGACAATATTTACGCCTAATAAAAACTTTCATCTTCTGTCCAATCAATCAAAGACAAAATTCCAAAGAAACAACACGGAGTTTATGAAATTCCTTATGCAGACTGCCCCGGATCTTATATAGGTCAAACAAATCGTAGAATCCAAAATAGGATTTATGAACATTTCATTTCTGTTCGCAATTCCGATTCAATTTCAGTTTTAAGTGAACACCATCTTCATAAAGGTTACAGAATTGATTTTGAAAACTCTAGAACCATTGCTCCCATCCGCTTCTATAAACCAAGAATCATCCTAGAAGCCATATAAATTGAAAAAAGGCCAAATTGTCTCAAAAAAAGAGATAACAGCATTCAGTAACCTTGAGATAAAGACCTCTCATAAAAAAAATATCGTCCGCTTCACCCTCCAATCAAAATCCTGCCGTCAGAATTGTTCGCGCCAACCATCGCGTCAATCTCTAAGCTAAACCCCACGCAAACCTCCAACCACACCACGTCATCATCGACATTATAAATAAACCGTCCGCTGTTCCTAGTAGCAGTAATACAGTGATTAGTTATCAGTCAGTAGTGTCTAGGGGTTCGGGAGGCTGAGACTTCGGAAGCCCTGAATAAGACATCAGAGAGGATGAGGAATATATTCATATATAATATATATATATATATATATATATATATATATATATATATATATATATATATATTGTCATACTTTTTCTTTTCCAACCAAAGAAAAATAAATAAAAAAATCCATCGAAATAAAATTTCAAGATATCAATATAAACAAATTGTATATAGTAATTTAAGATAAGATTTAGTGTAGATAAGAATAGAAATTTGTTTGGCAAACGACCTTTTTCCGTTTCAAACAAAGTTATCAAAAAACCTTTGTTTAGAATTAGAAGACATTTTACCTGTAAGTTAATCTTTTCATTGTTTGTATAGTCGAGTATTAAATGACCATATTTTAATCTTTTGAAATATGTATAAATGATGTATTGAAAAAAAAAACCAATTTTAAAGTAAGCTATTTAGTTTTCTCTGAAACCGAAATTAGGCTTTTCCAAAATCATGGTAAACACAATTTAAGCTTTTTGATTGGACGGTCGTTTTTAAATGGGAATTTGGTGAGTCGATCATGAGAGAGGAGAAGTTAGTCATATTTTGGTCATCGAAAGGAAACAGTCGTTTGTCTCAAGATAGGGTGTGGTTCGTGAGTTTGGATACCGGCGTAACGAAAAGAAGTGAATAGTTTGAAGAAGGAGATAACAAGTGGATTAAAAGAGATCCTTGTATCTACCGTGGGCATTTTATAAAGTATATGTGAAAGTATTCTTACGGCAGCAAGTTGACAAAAGGAGGTCCTGGTGTCATAAATAAGTAGCGGAGTTTGGAGAAGTGAATCAGGTGTTTTTTGTGTAGTCTGAAGGAGGTTTGCAGAGACGTAAAGAAGGAGCCGAGGTGCCAAAGAGGGGAGATCACATATTTGAGGAGACTGGACTTTTCTGGGTATGTTCCAACATACAACTCAAGAAGAAAATAAACTGTAAGTGTTTGTACAATTAAGAACTGAGGTTTTGTTAGGCTAATCAAAAGTTTAAGGTTTTGTGGTTTCTTTTTTTCAAGTAAAGAAAATTTTAAGTAAAATTGGTTTTTCACGTAATATAAATGTATGTAGCTTTATAATCTTATTATCATAATAATTTGATTTATTTTCTTGTATGCTGATTGATAAGATAACGACAGAATTTAATAATTGTTTTATTCGTTCATATAAAATAAAGAAACGTAAATCTTTGTAATATAATATATTTGTATTCGTATCCTTTTCTTCTCTATCCCGATAAAAGACAACTAGAAAATCTTTTGAATCCATCGAACACAGGTAATATAAGGATTATTTTACTTTTGATAACAAATAAGTTATAATTCTTTTTTATTGGCTCAATAAACTAAGTTTGAACTCAAAATAAACAATCATAACAATATATATATATATATATATATATATATATATATATATATATATATATATATATGAGTATGTGTGTGAGTGTGTGTGTACAAATTGTATTAACAAACAACTTACCTACAGACCCCCATTCGGGATGCGCTAAGTTATTGAACCATCCATCATACCTTTGTTTTTCTGTCTTACTTAGGAGTTGGTCTGAAACAAAAAAAAAAATAAATCAAAAAAGAAAAAAGATTTTGCTTGAGTTGAAAACATTTTGCTTAATCTGATCCTAATACACTTTTTGGTAAACCTGCATATATTTTGCTCATATCAGAATTAATATAATTTTGCTTAATCCTGAAATATCCTTCTGGCATGTATGAATTGAGTCTTCATGGTTATTGTATGTTGTATATTGTTCATTGTATATTGTGTTTGTATATTGTACATTTTTAAGATTATGATCTAATCCTGGACCTAACCAACAGTAGAGTGTTGATCTCGAAATCCATATTAATGATCTAGGTTATGATTACGATTCAGAACATGAAGTGGATTTGACAAAAGTGCTTTTTATACGTTTCCGATTATAGTCTACAGAAGAAAAAGACTACTAATATACAGTAACAAATATTGTGTACATGAAATTGACTACAAAAGATTTAAAAAAGATCAACCAGACTAACGCAAGTTTAAAATTGTAAGTCATAACAGCAGATGAGGGTGATGGTGCTCCAGTTCACCACACTGCTCCTATTCACAATCATCTAAATAATAACTTTCCTGGGAGTTTGACAGGCAGAGGGGGACCAACTGTTTGGCATCATAATAGCAGATGAAGTTCTTTGACGCACAACCAAATTATATGACATGATCCGGAAACAACAAATCAGCTAACTGCATAAATTCTCGCCAATGAACCAATTGCCAGCGAATACTAACCGGCGAAGTATGCAAACTAAGTAACGCCATATGAAATATTTAAGAGACCATAGTACCAAGAAAAGCAAAGGTTCATAAAATTAATCAGAGATTTAAATTGTTGAATGTTTAAATGTATTAAATATTGAAGTCATAGTTAGGGTAACGGAAGTGCTTAACCTAAAATAAATTTGCAAATAGACGTGTATATTGGCTATCTAAAGACACAAAAGAACACATAAATGTCCAAGCAACGAAAAGAAGACATAAAAAAGGGTTCCCAACCAATAATTTTATTTCTTTCTTTCAAACGGTGCACCTTACCTGGTTAAAGTAGAAAACGATTTGAAAAATTTTTACCCACGTTCAGTACATACAACTTGTTTAGAACATGTTTTAAATTGGGTCGCAGAAGAAATTAGAAACAAATTTCCTCTTGTTAATAATTTAATTTCAAATATGGAAAAAATATTTCTTAGGGTACCTATAAGAACTCAATTTTATAAAAAAACATTTGCCAAATCTTTCTCTTCCACCAAAACTTACTATTATTAAATGGGTAACTTGGTTAGGGGCTGCAAAGTTTTATGAAAAAAATTTTGCACAATTGAGGCCAGTGATAATGGAATTAGCTGAAGATTCGCCCGAATCACTTACACATTCCAAAGAATTATTTGAAAATCAAATAGTACAACAACAACTTTCATACATAAAATCAAACTATGATTTTTTGTAGTTGTATTCTTTAACTGTAGGATACAAGTTTATGTTTAATTGAAGCAAGTAAACTAATAAAAAAATAGAACTATCTTGGAAAATTGTTAAGGGTCAAATTGGCGAAGACATTAAAAAAAAATTGAATTGTCATTGATAAAATACATATTTATATCTAAGGTTACAAATGTTTTAAGTGGGGTGTTTGATGAATATAATAACAAGAAACAACTAATATTTTATAAAATTAATATATTTAAACGGTTTATGACATGCATATTTTGTTGAAATCAAAGCATATACATGATATTTGACACAAATCATAAGTATATATGCTCATATATTTTACTTTTCAGGCTGCATATTTGCCTGACTCTGATGATAAGAAACAACGGGAAGAATGACTTAAGGCCACTTTCTGAAAAAAGGGGACATCATTTAAGGTGTAATATCCATAGTTACCCATAAATTTCAATGAAAGGAACTTACACACAGGCATAAGGAAATGGTAGAGAGCCTAAGGAAGACAATCGTCACAATGTGTGTATGTTTGTCATCAAAGGTGCTGTTGCTGTTATATTCATGTGTTATAGTAGATAACAATAATAGGAACGTTCTATTTTTCAATAAATATATCATTTTATAAATAACTATTAGTAAAATTGATTATTTAATAATCCCATTGATCCTGCCTAACAGTGTAAGAGAATTAATTATCTGCTTTTTATTGCTTTCTCAAAAAAAAATTGTATAACCTGATCTTCGGCCTTAAGTTTTCAAAATTTGTATAATCTTCCTTATGCATATTTACTTAATCTATTTTTAAACTATTTCTTTCTCAACTTCAACTTTAACTTGTAGGATTAGAAGCGGTTGAAGGTAAAATTAACAAACAATTTTGTACATCTGCTGCATCTACTAATTAAAGAATTAAATTAATATGTTTATTATATACATAAAATTTCGTCATATGTGTAATACTTGTAAAATTAAAATGTTTTATTCAACTCTCTTTTAATTAAATGTATTCCTAATGGTCGTTTAAATTTCTTTATAAATCGAACTACATTTAAACTCATTAAAATTAATAGAATACGTAATCGAGCATTATTTATTTCTTTTTGTTAAAAGGGAATTGTTTATGAGGCCATGGATTTCTTTTATGTTCTTAGAGGCTACATTTGTCCGAAAAAGTTCAATTTTTTAAGTAGATATAATTCTACATCTAGTTACATACGGGATCTTAAAACTAAATTCAGTAACCAGAAGAAAGATTATGCAGATTTGCCCTCTAACTTAAAAAGCACATGATGAAATTAATACGTTTTACGAAGACTTTAAAAAAGATTTTAAAAAGGAATTCAAACCCAGAATAACAGCATGTAAGACAGAGATGATTCTATAATTAGTGACAGAACAGATACTAAACAGGTGGGCGAATCATTTTAAAGAACTGCTTAGCGACAGTCGTGCAGAAGACCAAATAGAAATTACTTTGCCTGAAGTGGTTAAAGAAACAAATGGTCCCAAAATTGCCCAGAAAAATTAAAGTTACCATATATAAAACACTAATAAGGCCAGTGTTAACATACGGATCAGAAACGTGGTCACTTATACAGAACGACCAAGAATTGCTTAAACGTTTTGAGAAAAAAATTCTAAGGAAAATATATGAAGGAGTCCAAGAACAGGGTTATAAAATGTATTAAATAAGCACGCCTTCTATGGATAGGACATGTAATTAGGCGAGATGAAGATGCAAGGATCAGAAAAATTTTCGACCAAAGAGGACCAGTGGGAAGACGAGCCAGGGGTAGACCAAAACTTAGGTATCAAGATAACATAGAGGATGATCTGAAATCCATCGGAGTTAAAGCATGGAGAAGTGTTGCCAGAGACAGGGAATGGAAGATTCTTCTGAAGAAGGCTTTGGCTCATAACGAGCTGTAATGGCACTGATGATGATACGAAGACTTTAAAAAAGCTATAGACGATAACAAAGAAGTAAACATAATAATAATGGGATATTTTAACGCCAAAATTGGAAGAAAGCTTGAAGACTCGCTACCTGAAAGTTAGGATTAGGCACAAAAAATACAAAAGAAGAAAACTTATGAAAAACCTTTTACAAAAAGAAACCTAACAGAAAATGAACATGGATCGCACTTTAAAGGAACTACCAAAAACGAAATAAACTACGATTCATTTTAAATCACGTTTTAACAAACTTTACCCGATTAAATTGTTCAAATGTTTACACCTTGGCAAAACCAGATCAATTAAATGGGTATTTAAATAAAATAAAAAACCAAAAAAGGTGTATTTTATATAAAACAGGCCTATTAAACATGTGATACCGATACGATTTCTAAAAGTGTAAAAATCGTAAATACGAGGGGTAATGCTTAACTTTTGAAACTGTAAGAATATATACAGGGTGATATCGGTCGATAATTCCATTATTGTATAGAATATCCAAAAAACTTATTTAGAAAAATGTAGACAATGAGATTCTCCATACTTGGAAAATATATGGAATTCTACAGGGTGATTAATAACTATGTAGTATAGCAATATATATAATTTTTTAAACGGGACACCCTATATATTTTTTCAAATTTGTATTCTTCTCATAATTCTTGTCCTTACAGTATTGGGTTTGGCATTACTATACAAAGTATTTAACAAGTTATGACCATTTTTATTTCGAAATCTGTATGCAATCAACACATATCTATATAAAGAAGTAATACATAAACAATTGTTTATTTTATATAATAAAGCAAACAATATATTGTAGTTTTTAAATTAAGTATATTTGAAGACATTGACAAAAATTTAGCTCTATTACGCAAGTTATTGAGAAAAAACAGCCTTCAATAAAGAAGTTCACCTGGTGTACGTAGACTTACAAAAAGCATATGACAGTGTACCCCTAAGTAAACTATGGTCGACCCTACAGCAAACCAAAATTAAGCATGGTCTTATCAAAGCAGTCCAAAGTCTGTATAATGGAACGACTGCAAAAATTAAAACTGGATCAAGGATATCTGAAGGATTTAAGTTTACGAAAGGACTAAAGCAGGGTTGCTGTATTTCGTCTACCCTTTTCAAAATTTATCTGGAACAAGCACTCAAGCTATGAAAAAGAAAATGTAATGGCATGGGAATCCCTCTCAATGACGAGACTACACTGTACACCTTATGTTTCGCTGATGACCAAATACTGATTGCCCAGGATCATGACGACTTGAGTTACATGACTCGAAACCTAATAGAAGAATATAACAAATGGGGTCTCGAAGTCAACATTAAGAAAACTGAAGCCATGTGTATTGGAGGGACAAAACAATCCATTATATTAGACGATGGGGTAGAAATTAGAAACTGTGATGAATACAAGTACTTGGGTATGAAGATAACACAAGATGGAACACTCGATGCTGCTATAAAAGACAGAAACATACAGGGTAGAAATGCCATATCCATGATGAACGGCATTCTGTGGGACCAAACAATATCTAAAACGAACAAACAACTCATATACAACACCATACTTAAAAGTGTAATCACATATG